CTTTTCAGAATTGTTCAGAATTGCTATAAGACATGGGTATCGAAACATGCGAACGCACAGCGGAAAGGGCTGCGAGAGATACGAAAACGTGTAGAGGACGGTGGAATGCTATACTTCATTCTTAGCGACAAGGAAGGAGGGTTCAAGGTTCTACCTCGTTTCTTGAATCGGGAAATAATGGAGCTTCGACTAAATGAAATTTTGATTAACAAAAAATTTCGGTTCACAAAAGCCCTAGATAGAAGGCGTTCCTCGTGTCGTTGGAGCTACACGTCCACGCGAGAAATTCAAAGCTGAGCAACCGAAATGAAAGCATGAACGTAACAAGGAATATTCTAACGTTCATTCCTTTTTATGCGCTTTAGAATCACTACAGAATTCTTATCTAACAACCATCAGTGGTCTCCTATTGATCCCTTATTAACGTAATCAGCTGGTAGAACTCCAGAAGCTTGATTAATTGGCTGACTGACATCGGCACATAAAAGGTGAAATAAGTTTATTATGCCTGCTTAAGGCAGAAAGACATAAAAAAGCAGAACAAGAATGCTAACAACAATCAAATCTATCCACAACAATTCAACCAAATTAACCACTGTCATACAGATATCTTTATCCCATTACATTGCAACCAGTCGGATGAACCGGCTAACGCCGGACTTTCCTCCTTTTTATGACAGAGTTGTAGTAATCAGCTAATCGGCAACGCCCTCTTTGAAACGGAAACACTTTTCCGGATCCGAAAATTGGCAAACGACTAACGGGCAGTACAAGTAGCATTCAATGTGTGCCAATGCTTATGCATTTGATAAGAAGTTTTAAGCTGTTGCTCTTGATTTTGAAAACAAACACTCATCAAAGATTGAACTGTTAGGCAACAAAAGACACCATTGTCAGATGTCGTTCTTAATGCGACTGCTTTTCTTTAAAGGCACTGTCCACGAAAAAATGGCTCCGGAGATTTGCACATGGTTTGAATTCGACGCCCCGTTTGATACCATTTGTGCAGGAATGAGGTCGGAAATGGTCTGGATAGGGCACAATAAGGGGCCGGAGAGCGAGCCACGGTCGCCCTCCGCCCCTCGCTAGGCTGACTACGAAATCTAATTGCCGTTCACCAGTTTCGCCACTTTTCACCACTTTCGCATTGGAGCGAAGTTGGTGAAAAATCGATAAGGTAGTTGGCAAATTNCCAGAGTCTGCCAGTTAGATTGTCAGGCAAATTGAGTGTGTTGTCTGCTATTGCAGACATTGCGTCGCTTTCGTGCACTCGCCCGAACACTCCCTCAACCCCGTTCTTCCAATGTGAACTCGTCCAACCACCCTTCCCAGCTCTTTTTTGACCCTTTCTATTTCTTTTTGTTCATCGTTTTTTGCGCTTTTTTCGTTGTTATCGCTTTATTCTAGAGTAGTTCTATGTACTCCCGTCAAAAAAGGGTACCCTAAATTTTTCGTAAACGTTGCCTTTAAGGATACGCGATTAGTCGGAGATTCCAGACTGTTGGCGGTCGGGTAAGTTTTGACGTAAATTATATTGAAAAAAGGAGAACCCGTGATCCTTCATTGAGTCACAAACCTTTTGTTTAGCAACCATGACCAAAAAGCAAAAAATGAGCCAAGTTTTCATCTTCTTATAGCATGGTGCCTTTAATCGATCCCTATCACTGTATTTACCTGTCTTATTGAATGAAACATATCGAAAAGTCATCGCTAGATATACCTATTTACCAAAAAAGATGTTAGAATTTAAATGGTTTTGAAGTCTTGCCTTCTAAGCCCCTCATCAGCTCATATCAGTTGTTGAGAGCTCCTGTCACATAGTGTATATGACTCCATCGCATCCTACATCACCAAATGAAGAGCCCAGCTTTCACCTTAATACGAAGAATGATGCTTGTGTTTTTTATAGACATTTCAGTTAAAAAATGCAAGATAGTAAACGCGTTGGTTGTTCGAAGAATGGAAATAGAGTAAGAAATTTTCAACAGAAGGAGCGTACATGCTGGCTGATGATTTCGAAAGCGTCTTCCAGGAAGATGGCGGGAACATCTTTAGTGTCTTCTATCACAGCTTCTGTTTTGTATGATTCAATTGACTCACTCTCGGTTACGACTGTTTTTTACGTTTCTTGCTTGTGCGGAGAATGGCTCCAGTCGAGTGATATTCTCATGTACATCTTTAATCAATCTTCAGCGTTACGTGAGGCTTCTACGCGTTGAAAACACTACTTCGCGACGCCTATGTTCAAAAATAGACCTTACCGAACTACCGATCCAATGGGTATTACTTCACTGTTTTGTACGCTCTGGAATCCTCGGTAGTCCAATCGTCAATCACTTGTCAGATAGTTTTGAGTGGACAACATGGCTCTGTCCCGAGACGATCTGACGAGACTAGTCTAGTTGAATGTCTGGATGATTGGATCGAAACTCTAGGCAAGAAGGGTTTTTGCAACGTGATCTACTTTGTTTTTGCAAAATCTCTCGAGTTTCACCCTGTCGCTATAAATAGATCGGAAGTTATGTAGTAGGCGGAACGTTCCAGGTGAAGATTGATCAGTCATTCTCTAACCCGAGGTACGTAAGTGTTGGAGTTTAGGGAAGAGACCTTCTATCGCCTGTCCTTTTCAACAATTTTACGGCCGAAATCCCGAGCTTGCTGCGTGCAGTAGGAGTTAGGATAAAGGTAAACGAACACGATTTGAAAGTATACAAGCCAATTTTGTGTACGGATGTTTCTCAACGTTTACTAGAAACGATGGACCTATTAACAATGAACTGGTCCAAAGAGAGACAATTGCTCCTGGCTTCGCAAAAACGGTTCATATGCAACTAGTATTTGCAAGGGTTCCCTTGGGACCCTTGTATACTGTTGAAGGGGTCCCTCTCACTGCTGTTGACTTCTACTTATCCGGAAAATAGAAGCATTGCTTGGTGCTCACAATGATATGTACGTTCCCTGGTGAAATCTGGCTTTACGGGCTTCCAATCCTTCGAAATGGAAGGGTACATATGCACTGGAGAAGGTTCAGAGTGTTTTCCCTCGTAAACTGCTTATTCGATTCATGTTTTTCTCTGTGCAAAATACCGAAAGCAGCAATTAGAAACAGGTACTTGGAATTTTTTGCAATCGACACAAGACTACTTTGCGAGAGAAAAGTTTTCGTTAAGAAAGTTTCGTCATTATTTGAAGCTTTCAAAAAGATACAATTAAAGACATTATTGGCTTAATTCAGACATCGGATGGCTAATGTGCTGCTGAGATACGATGCACTAGCATTTCCTGATACTGACTGTTGAACTCTAAGCATTTCTCTACCTGCTACTGTCAGATTTCGGGCAACTTGACTGGNTTTTTTTTTGCTTGTACGGGCATTATGTTTGGTTTTTCGTTGTCTTACCAATAAACGTTTTCCCACTTGTGCCTTTGTAAACCCAAAACTTATTGCAAACCTAGAGGCTCCCGCCTCCTATGGCTCATTATCGGTCTCTATCAGTTCTTATCAGCTGCTGCCAACGATCATCGACGGACCTTTTCAACCCGGATAACCTACTTAACTATCAAGCCACCACTACCACGAAAGAGGTAACGGATCGTGCCGCTATCATTTCTAAGGTTCTCTATCAACCCCTATCGATTGTCGTCGTTCTCTATCACTTACCGCCAGTGTGCCCGTCCTGCCGACTGTATTCCTTTTAATGTATTCATGCACAGGGGAACAGTGGCTGGTGCATTTCCGGCTAAACACACACATACCGACCCCCATCGGCGAAACAACAGACGCGCTCAGCGAATTAGTGTATTTGGATGATAGGGGGGTCCTATCCTACGTCGGTGATTCCCCCTTGATGGCGTTGAAAGACAGCAATAAATGGTTCATGGATGACAACTTCAAAGCAAGCCAAAGGTGGGTTGGGTCGAGCCGTGGTATCATGTCATACAAGCTCACCACATTTACAGCAAAGAGGATTCTGGACATTTGTCAAATCTCACAAGGTTGGCGAGTTCTAGACAGAACTTCCGTTCGAGAATGAGAACAGTGCTCCCCCAGAGAAGGCTCTGGACAGATGAGTCATTCGACCACGCTCTGCCAAAAGTGTTGAAGTTGCCCAAAATTTCGGAACACCGCCGTAAGCGTCCAAAATGGACGGGCTTTTCCATTCAATCGGCGACGGCAAAAGTCATTTCGCAAGCGTTCAAGACGCATTGTTTTGTGCAGGCTAACGAGGGTTACGGTCGATTACGAAATAGGCATGTCAGGTCATGCAATCCTCGAAGGCATGACCTGACGTATGGATTTCATTCCGGCATATCCCTGGTTGCTGAGTGGTCTAGTATTCTCAACAGTGAATGAATTGGGAGAGCTGCTTCACCATGACCTGGCCGCTCTACAGCAGCAAGTCTTCAAGTGATATGTGTGTGCTACGAGTGCGGACGCTTCGGTTTCGCAATCGACTGCAAGTTCGTTAAGCGTGCGATGTGAATTTTTAGCAGGTCATTTCGAGACTTTGCTCAAATCTAAAAGTATGTCCAACTGTCAGCTCAGTAAATTCGTTCGTATTAATGCTCTTTCAGTCAGAGAGTAAGAAGTTTCTGAGTTGTCAGGTTTGAACAAGTGTCTGGAGAAGTACTCTAGAGTTTGGAGACGTCTCCAAGACCTAAAATCTGCTCCCATTCTATGAATGCTCTTGATATGAAATCAGGTCGCGATCACGCGTGTTTAGTGTGCAAATATTTGTATGTATTCTGCTGTATCTACGTTACAATGTATTTACCATGTACTGCGTATTTGCACTCGTACTATTATTCTGCCATGTAACCGTGCCTTATTCTGGAGTGAGTTCTATTGCATCTCATTATGGTGCTATATGTCTGTAAGCGACTCGATATTGATCGGGCGGGGGCCGAGCCGATTCTCTCAAATACTCTGAACACGTGGCTCTGAACAAATACTCTTGCCAGGGCCTCACGATGACTTCGATTGGGGCAAAGGCGTCGATATGTTGAGGGATCCTGCGGAAGAGACCATCGAGCAGAGACCCAGCTTGGCACAGAGCATCAAGATTCTGTTGTCTAGGAAGGTCCATGCGAGCAACAAGAGTCATCCGATGTTAGCAATTGAAGGCAAATCTACTACAAAGTCTCGATTCTATACAGGCACGAATGTGAGGAAAGTCTTCAATTCTAAGTTGGAAATTGAAGTGCCGTATCTTAGCCTCGAGCCGCACAAGAGGAGACTCCCCAAGGAGGGACAGAGAGAGGTCGCAGAGAGGTCTATAATACCCAAGCGTCTATAATACCTCCAGGACCACAAGGGCACAGGCCCTTCCTCCATGGGCGCCACGTGTAAGCTGAGTGGGACAGCTTGCTAGGGTGAGGGCATGTTGAGTGTACAAAGATTTGTATGTATTCTGTACAATGTATTTACCATGTACTGCGTATTTACACTCGCACTAGTATTCTGCCATTTGACCGTGCCTCATTCTGAAACGGGTGTTATTGTATCTCATTATGGTGCTATCCGTCTGTGAGCGACTCGATTTTGATCGGGCAGGGGCCTGGTCACTATCAATTCGTGGAAAGGGTGCCGGCAGACTGTCCGCCGTCCTCGTTCTGTACTCTCTCCACTTTGCGCCCGATTCAATTTCTCTAATTGTGGGGAGGCGCGAAGCGGCCGCCAGTCAGTCTTGCTTTGTCGGCCGAGGAGGACGGTCGGTTTCGAACACTCTGCTACTGAGGGAAGGGTCACGAGGGCAACCTAGTTCAAACGACCGATAGGCCTAGGATCTCAGGCAATCTGCCTGATCATCTTAGGTATCCTACTCCTAAGGGGGAGCTACTCGTGGTAGCTGGCTCGACAGTTAACCCGCTGGATTCGCTTATTTGTTATTCGCCATTGCTATAATCTCAGTGACTCAGATTTTGTAATAAGCATTCCACAGTGCGATTACTGAGGATCGAGGCGTGCCATCGCCGAGCAATCTTGAATATATATTTTGCTGTCATTGCCATCGCTTGCCGTGTTGAAAAGTCATTGCGGAGCAATGAGAGGGGTCTAAAGCCGATTATGCTACCGGCACCATCGGCGAGAGCAGGCAAGAAAGGCGGCATACCCTAACACGCGTTGGTCCACAGAGAGTTCAGAAAGTGTCCAAATTTGAACGTGCGGTCAAAATCAAAGCAATCGGCCTTCCCTCATTGTTTTCCCAAGCTCCTTTCATTCTCATCAAGCTATTGAAGCCCCTGTCATCCGAGTGGAGGTTCCAAGGCATAGGCGCTGTCATTTACGTGGATGATGGCTTAATCTGGAGCACTACCAAAACAGAATGCGGAGTGTTTTCTAAAAAGGTCAGAAGTTACTTGCCAGAAGCCTGTTTCTTGCTGGCAAAGGAGAAAAATACGTGGCTTCCTCGCTAGGGAGTGACTTGGTTATGTCAGATTATTGATTATGGAGAGTGTCGTTTGGCTTTACCCAAGACAGCGCTGTTTATCGTCTGGAGTTGCATACAGGACGTCGGAAGATCGGAGTCTGCCATTCAGATGCCCCCTTAATTCAGAAGAACCTGAGGAAATTAGGAATTGGATAAATTTCCTCCTTAAAAGCAAAACTGCGTCAGAATGTGTTACTCACCGAAGCTCTCAACAGCTTCGATCGAGTCACGCATTCCATTGTCCGGCCATACAGTAGCGGCCTAAGTTCTTTGGTGAAACGCTTCTTTAATTGTAGCTTTTTTCCCTACTTCATAAAATCACATGAAAATTTAGTATGCTAATCAAAGGCATATTATGAATACTCACTGCTATTAAACTGCAATTTGCTATTGTTCACATTGCGTAGTAAGATTAAATTCGATTCATTGGGAAATACAGATAACATCGACCTGATAAAAACCGCTTTATTTGGTTAAACCGTCTACCATTCAAAAACCGATTAGTTTTTGAATGGTAGTCGCTGACGTGGAGTTTCCTTCTTCGCTTATTGCGCGAATTTTTCTTCTTCTTCCTTCTGAAAACGCCTTTTGAGCTCTCTATTGATTTCAAATCCGATGGCTGGCTGGACCTTTCCAGAAGTATGGTTCGCTTTTCGCTGAAGACTGCCTTCACAACTACTGAGAAATGTTTCAGATGATTACCCTGCTGTAGGATCTATCGCCCATGGCAAAACCAGTTCGACCGTCATGTTCTTGCACTACTCCCCTGTCATCGTGCCGTGTAATGTTTGGCAAAACTCCAATAGTTAAGGTTTGTAACCGACCAACGAACCAGAGCAATTGACCGAACAATTTATCCAGCAATTTACAACGATCGCGATACGAAACAAATAACGATACAAAGAAAACAAAAAAAGATTGTCGAGCGCTGGCACCGAGTCCAAGAGTTCCGTCGAGGAGGGCAGCGGCCAGGGCAGGTCCGTGGAAGGATGGGCTTCGAGTCAAAATCCAAACGAGAACAATTCTCTTATATACTCACTGGGGCCTGTGAATCAATAGGTCATCCTAGATCTCCTCTCGGTCAAATCTCATACAAGGCACGCCGCTTGCGTGCGTAAGTTGGCCGCCCTTCCGGCATGACCTCCCCTTTGGAAGACATCGTCCTCAATGCCGGCCTTTAAGATTTGCCAGCCCCGCTCCTACTGCACGGGTTTTCACTGCCTCATATACATGTTTCGGCAACGCAGTTCCTACATAATTATTATAGAATTGTGCGCTTCCTTCTAGAGCACCAACCTCCAAATACAAATTGCCTTTAATGAACTTGTTGCTAGCAGTACAAAACATAATTACAACTGTCGAGCTTCATCAACGCCTCATCTAGGCTCCTCCAGAGTCCCGATAAATTGATCCACTTGGATTAGTTCTTCGAGTTGATCGGTGGCCATGCTGTGGCAATAGAACCTCCTTCTTCCAAATAGGATTTTGCCAAGCTAGTCAAATTTGCTGCAGTGCACTCTGCGAAACCTGCTTCTTGGGGCCACACGATGACCCATACTTCGGAAGAATTTCATTCCTCATTCTTTCAGGACCTCTTTGAGACGCTTAAAATTGAGCACAACTTTGGTGGCGATCCCTCCGCGAATCCCGTCTCTTTCCATCGGGCTTGCGCCTTCGAATGCGGCGTATAAGAGAAGACTGGTCCTATTTTCTTCGAGAGCGACTGCTCTTCGATCTCTTCACGAACTTTTTGCAATGCCTCATTATAGGAACGGTGGACTTGCTGATTTTCGATGGCGGTGTGCTCGGCTATACATTTTGTGTTGCAGATGAAGTCGGTCCAGTCTATGCATCGTCCATAAGCGAATTTCAGCACGATCTGCAAGGAATCTGCATCGAAGCAGATGTGGCCCTCGTGATGATACTTGATTTTCTTCCCAATGCCAAGATTGGTGCGACGAAATATACTACAAGCGAGCCAAGCGCTCCAAAGACTCTCGATCTCCTCTATTGCGACTGCCCTGGGAATGATGCCCCCGCAATATCTCCTAGCGTTGCTCCTTCGAAGCATCCATTAGCGCACAGGAACAGTAGATGTCCTTAGTCCAACGGACTGAGCAACGACGCACTACTGAAACGAGCTTTTGTTGCTTTGCATACCGTCATTGCTCCCTGGGGTTTTTTTCTTCCCCTTTTTCCTCTGGTGCTTTTTGTATCGATTCGTTCGTAAGAAATACAGTTTGGCACAATCCTTAACATGTCGAGCTGTATTCTGATGGGTCCTGCGTTCTCTCCTATTCTTGTTACAAGAGCTGAATTTTCGCTAGTTTCGATAACTCTAAACGGTCCAGCCCATTCCGCAACTAATTTTGGGTGCAAACTTTTACCCTTTCCTTTGGGCGACAAAACATACACTCTATCCCCTATTTTAGGATGACGGTCAACGTTTACTTTATTCCTTTTATCATACTCTCCTTTCATCACTCCACGAACCCGATCGCTGTGATTTGTAAGTCTTTTGTGAACTTCTGCAATCCCTTGCAAGAGTTCTGTTTTATAGTCTCCCGTTGGTCTATCTATCAAGTACCATGACTGTCCAGCATTAGGTATTATGTTTGATGGGAAATTAGGATCCCCACCGTGCAAAACGAAATAGGGCTCTCCCCCGTGGCTGAACGCGGTGTCATGTTGTAAGCCATAAGACAGAATGGGAGTCGCATATCCCACTCGGTAGGTACTACTGTGCTCTTTCGCAGCATGGCCAGGATAGTTCCATCTACCCTCTCTGTTGCCTCATTCTCCCTGGGGTTGTATCCCTTGGTCATCGAGTGTTTTATCTGAGCGACTTCCATAATTTCTTCCATGACCTTGTTTTCAAATTCGCCCCTCTGTCTGACAGAATAGTTTTGGGCTAGCGGCATCCCTCCGCTATCCATCTAACGATGATTGTCTGGGCCACAGTGCGAGCTGACTTATCGGGCACTGGGTACGCTGCGGCAAACTTAGAAAACAAGTCTATTACGGTAACAGCATACCTGTTACCTTTTGACGTCAGCCCTAGTTCTAGAATGTCCACTCCGATCACATCATATGGTCTGTTAGTAACCAATGGCTCTAGCGGTGGAACAATTGGTTTTTGTGGGTTATGTATGAAACATCTATGACATTGTTTCGTCCACCTGTTGATGTCGCGTGCCATGTCCGGCCAAAATACCTGCTTTGATAGCATGTGCAATAGTTTAGGAGCACTAAAATGCCCACCAAATTCCCCTCCGTGTGCCTCATGGAATATCTCGTACCTCGAGTTTTCCGGTACCACGAACACTAATGACCCATCCTGTTTGTACAGCATCAGCTCCCCGTCAACTAGTGTAAAATCGGCCATATTGGTGGGAACCCTGATCCCTGGCAATCGTATTTCTCATTTACTTCGTTGCTCTCAATGCATTCTATGATATCGGCAAAGACGGGGTCCCTTTCTAGCTCGCCCTCCACTTCGTTTTTTCACTCAATCTTACTGAGTTGACTACGGCGTTGCTCTCAACTTCTAGTGATTCTTCCAGGTTCCCACTGTTCCCCTAATCAGAACATCAGCTATTACGTTTGCTTTCCCCTTGACATACTTTATGTGGAGGTTATATCGCTGTACCTCCAACGACCATCTCAATATGCGCGCTGAAACATTGCTACGTTGTAATAAAGCAGTGAGGGGTTGGTGATTTGTTATAACGGTCGTCGGTAGATCATATATGAACATATGGAATCGCCTCAAAGCAAATACCACAGCTAATGCTTCTAAATCCGTGATGTAGTAATTTCTTTCGGCCTTGCTTAGCGACTTAGATGCGAAGAAAATTGGGTGTAAATGTCCATCTTTCCCTTCCTGAGAAAGTACTGCGCCCAAACCTGTCGTTGACGCATCAGTGCATATCACAAATGGTCTGTCGCCTTGCTGTTTCTATATCGGGCTATGCCAAAACCGGAGCGCTGCACATCATGCTCTTCACCTTTTCAAACGCCCTCTCCTGTTCTTAGTTCCATGCCCATTTTGCCTTGGCTGAGGTCAGGTTAAACAAGCATCCCGCTTGTTTCGAAAAGCCTAATCAGAATTTTCGATAGTATGAGGCCATTCCCAGGAATGTTCCCAACTCCTTCACATTCTTGGACCTTGGGTACACCCTTACCGCTGCCACTTTTCCAGGGTCCATGTGAATTCCTCTATCAGGTGCCCTAGGAAAGCTACTTTGTTCTGTAAGAGCACACATTTTTTCGCTTTCAGGCGTAACCCGGCTCCTTTGAGTTTCTCACAAACTTTACCGAGCAGCTCTAGGTGTCTTGCCTTTGTTTCCGTACAAATGATATATCATCGATATAACAAAAACTTCTCTTCCCAATAAGTCGTGGAGAACATTATCCATAAGTCTTTGGAAAATAGCAGGGCTTGTGCTCAAGCCGAAAGGAGTCACCTTGAATTGAAATAGCCCTTCTGGTGTAGTGAATGCTGATTTTCCTTTATCCGTCTTGGACAATGGTATCTGCCAGTACCCACTACACATATCAAGGGCGGAAAAACCTTTTTGCCTGCCAGACTTTGCAGGATGGCCTCAATGGCTGGGAGTGGATACGAGTCTTAATTTTCTTATTCAATTCACGATAGTCCACACACAACCTAAGGGACCCATCCTTTTTCTCTACTAACACTATAGGAAAAGCCCACGGCGACGAGCTTTTCTCAACTATGTCGCGCTTTTGTAGGTCTTCAAGCAATTCTCTCAACATCGGACAGATGCTCAACGGCACGGGCCTTGCCTTCAACTTGACCGATGGGTGTTCTGCCGTGTCAATGACCATTTCCGTTAGTAATGTGCGGGAGAGCTCCTTCTCTGACATCGCAAATGCGTCCTCATTTTCCCTCAACTGAGACCAATTCGTCATCCAACTGCCCATCTCCACTACTTTCCTCTGTTGTATCAACCGTTGTCTTNTCTTTCCTGCCACCATCAAGCGTTACCTCTAGAGTGACTGCTCCCACTATTTTCATTCCATTGCCTGACACGTCGTACACAGGCCCTAGTTTCTTAGCGCTGAAAGGAGTGCATCGACGTCGTATCCGTTGGCTTGCGCCTTTTCCAGCAACGTTATCGGTATGATGCTCACTATCGAGCCACTATCAATCAAGGCTGATGCCGTCATCCCTAATAGCTTGACTTTCCTACGCATCAACTGCCCTACTCTTTCTGCGCTCTCACCTCTACCTTGCTTCCGGATCTTCACCCCATAGCTACGTACTGCTCGGATGATTTCCGACACCAAACCTCTGTCGTTGGTCTCGCTTCCACCCGGACTACCGATTTTTTGTACTTTCGCCCTTTTCCGCGGACACTCTCTAGCAAAGTGGCCAGGCTGGGCGCAGAAACTCTTCCTGAGGGCCTCCTCGACCACTGGCCTGCTTTCGCTGAGAACGGGGGCCTGAGGTAACCTTCCTGTCTGCCGGTTCACACTGCCCGTTGACTGAACCTCAGATCGCTTGTGAAAGTCGGGTTCTCCTCCTGTCTGCCGCGGGTAGGTGCTCTCCCTAGTTTTCCACTCTACTGGTTTTCTCCTGTACTGACTTGCTTCGACCAATGCCCTTGATTGTTCTATGCTCAAAGCAAGTAGCTTGACTTCATCATATGCGTTCTCCGGACTCGCCCGGTGCAAAACACTTATCAGCTGAACATGTTCGGGCCGTTCACGCAAATTTTCCAACAAAATATGCCCATTCTCTAAAGATCTGCTCTCTCTGGGTTTGCCCTTCTAGACAGGTTTTCAGAGACGACGCAAAAATCAGCAACGTCCTGCCCAGGTCTTATTCACAGGCTGCGCAATTCCGTAAGCGCTCTCATCCTCCCAGCCACGCAGTCACTTGATAACAGCAGACCAAACCCTTTAACTACCTCCTCGAAGCCTTTGTCAACGATGCTACTTGGCAGAGTTCACACGATATTCTTTGCGCGGCCCACTGAGTGGTCATCGCTCAATACCTCGATCAATGTCTTGTCATCTATTATGACCTTTCTGTATTTCCGACGAAACTTCCTATAGAATGCATTGAAATTTTCATTTGGCTTCCCTTTGAAAACCCCGGGATCAGCACAAGATAACGACTGTACATAATTCAAAAGGCTCATATTTGAATCCTGACCTGTGCTGGCTGATCCCAGTTCCAAACGAATTGCGGAGGTGCTCGAGTTGCGTCCTGAGCGCGCTCCATTCTGTGGGCCCATCCTGGAAGAGTGAAGCTATGCAGTTGTCTGCCCCACTGTGATCCATTTCTGCCGTGCCTCTTCCTTTATACCGCTCCCTGATTGCCTTTCTATTGTCGATTTCTTCAGGCTCTTCATTGTAGCCACTAGCTGCAATGCATCGACATTTAATTCATCACGCAACTTTTCCACAATATTTCCATCCCTTCCCATTGTCTCAATGCACTCTTGCCAATCCTCTTTCGACTCTATGCCCTGACCATTAGGGTTTCCCCGATCTCTGTGTCCAATAGGCGGGTGACGCCACTGCACCCTATTAGCGCTCCTATCTTCTCTCACACCAGCTCAATCCTACCTGATAGACTCTCTTCATGCATGCTCTTACAGCGGGCAGAAATTTTGTGTTCCCGGATTTTTTCCCGCATATCAACAGGGATCTGCTTGATCATATCTCTATTTTCCTCTAACACACACACACCAAATTCATGTGTGGGAAACTCAGCGGGGTTTCATTCTAATCCCCATCCGGCTCGTACATTTCCACTTCATCTAACATTTTCTGCAATCGAAAGTATTACCTACGTTCTTACGTTCTTGCTTACGACGAACGACGAGGAATACGACACGAGGCCAATCGCGAAAAACAGCAATCAATCGCGAAAAACAAAAAGCAATACGCAATCCACGAAGCCGATCCCTATGCGCCCCTTCTTGTACGAAATCAGTATTCTTATACTCGCAGTGCAGACGCCCTTAGTGATCTTGAGTCAATACTGGCGCCTTTTTTGAATTCACCCTGCGTCGGTTTCATCAATACAGTCCAACCCTTAGATGCCTAAGCCCTTACTTGCCCTTGCGTATGGCACCAATTTCTTCTGCTGGTAGCTTTCTTTTCTACCGTTATACCGATCTGCCTTGTTGCGCGGTCTCTCACTGAACTCTATTGGACTGTTTCAGTGTTCGGCCCCCCATGTAATGTTTGACAGAACTCCAATAGTTAAGGTTTGTAACCGACCAACGAACCAGAGCAATTAACCGAACAATCCGGCAATTCACAACGATCGCGGTACGAAACAAAACAACGATACAAAGAAAACAAAAAAAAGAATTGTCGAGCGCTGGCACCGAGTCCAAGAGTTCCGTCGAGGAGGGCAGCGGCCGGGGCAGGTCCGTGGAAGGGTGGGCTTCGAGTCGAAATCCGAACAAGAACAATTCTCTGAGAGGTCGCCCCCTTATATACTCTCTGGGGACTGTGAAATAGGTCATCCTAGATCTCCTCTCAGTCAAATCTCTTACAAGGCACGCCGCTTGCGTGCGTAAGATGGCCGCCCTTCCGACAACCGTCAATTTTCAAAATAGGGCCCATTCCACTGTATACCATCACACTTCCTCCACCATGCTTAGTTGTGAGTAGGGTGTATTCGCATCGAACCTTTCCTCAAATGGACGTTGTCTGCAGTGCACGTTCATCCCAACGAACTGAACTTGCGCCACTATGTTGAAGGAACTCTACTGCATTCAGTCGACGTCCAGTTGAGTGACACAGCGCAAACTCCACTCTAGCTCTCATACTTTTTAACTGATGAACCGCTTTTTGATCGGACGCCTCCCATGAATACCAGCACTGTTTATGGGTCTTCCTGCAGTCTGCCGGTAAGCAATGGTGCCACCGCTAGCGCTGAACTCAACGGCAATGTCAGCCGCTGTGAGGCGAGGGTCAGCTCTCGACCGAAGTGTGATCCGTCTGTCCTGGGCTGATAAAGCACATCAGAGTCTTCCCATTCTCTATGCATTGCAAACAGAGTTTCTAACGTGCAAGCATGGAATAATCCAAGAAATCGCCTGCTCTGGGTCCTCCAAATTTTTAAAGTGCCCGTGGCTTTCATGCCCGATTCCTTCATCTCTGCTGATGGCAGCCGAACTCTCTGAGTGACCACTACCCTTCAATCCATGCCTTGAGTGTACAATACTAACGTCGAGCAACAAAGGGACGCAAAAAGTGCAATTATCGCTACTCTCGCAATCATGAGAAATCGCTCCTGCAGTAGAACCTCTGCGCGTAGTCATCCAATTCCCCGTTTTGAAGCCAAAAAGTATAAACTGGTTTAGTTAAAGGTGAGGTTTGACATATCAAAATTTTCTTGATTCCCTCTACCAGGAAAAAGGTTACGTTCGGAAAAGCGTTTAGCCGAAGACTTTTGGCCGCTACTGTATACGCGTATTATTCTACTGGACCCACAAATGTATTTTGCTCATGAACAGAATTGCCATTATCGGAACTTATGTATTACGGATGTATTGATGAACAACGTGCGAAACCAGGAATAAAGCCTTCATCGAGCAGAACGTACTCTTTGACGGAGCCTTGTTGTCAAAAAAAACGACGTTTCATGGAATCCTATACGTGCAGGACTCGGATTTTCAAGCCTTGCCTATGAGTCCTACGCCCTACTGCGCCATAGATTCGATTCTGCTCGGTTACATTATTAGCTTGATCCTGTGGTATAAAACATGGGAAAACTGTTGAGCAATCTGCTCCAGTATCGTTCAACCGATTTTGAACACAGGTTTGAAATTAATCACTACGTATCTCATATTAACAGCAAGAAAGTGTTTCTGGACGTTTGTCAAATCTCACAATATCGGGGTTTATGAACATATATATATGAACAAGCTGTCATTGTATAGGAATCGTCGAATCTTTCTATAGGTACATAGATAGCATTCGGTCACAATGAATGACAATGAACATGACGTTTTTCAGGAAGGACGTCATGCCCGAAACGTTTTTCAGGAAGGACGTCATGACCGAAACGATGGCCGTAACAATGGACTAAAGCAGATAAAGTTCTCCACATTTTCCAGTGATGAACATAGACAACGCTTTGTGTACCATGGGCCATGGGGAAAATCGGAGTCATACTACCCTGATGGCCGAACTGCGCACAAGACGATGCATAATTGGTATGTCACTACAGCACACTTAATCGGTAGTCCTTGGCTCGTCCAAAACTACACATGCTTACATATTTCCCTGTACTCTACAATCCCCAAAAGCCTCAGCAAAGAATGTCGGATGCATACGGCAGCACTCATTTTGCAAACCTTCACGACCGAAATCACAATATATCAAGGCAACCTGGTGTCTTTACCTTCTTGTACTGCGACACTTCGAAATGTATAGAGCTTTGAGGATCCAATTTCAAATGCGCGTTGTGTTTAAATCCGAGAGCGGAGTGGCATCGATTGATTTTTTCCGGAAGTACAATTCTCTGGAAGGAATAGTACCATTTGGCTCCTGTGTTTTCGGAAAGCGGTTGTTGAAAAGACGGAGGAGCCTCTCCCTTGACGTCGAATAGTATTTTTCAGTCATATGCAGAAATTTCAAGGAAATATTAGGTGTGTGCATTAATTTCCGCCTTTTTTCGCGTGCAAAAACATACTTATTACAAAATTAAAACTAAATGTACATTAACCAATGTATTGCCCATCGTTAGCTACAACTACTTGCCATCTTTCTGGTATCTTGTTGACTCCGGGTCTGAAAAGGTCTTCATCTTTTGAGGCAATCTTGTTATCCACCCATTTTCGCACTTCTTCGGCATTCCGGAAGCGTATATCTGCCAAACTGGCTTGCATGGACCGGAATAGGTGGTATTCAGAAAGAGCAAGATCCGGAGAATATGCGGGCTGAACAAGCTGATCCCATCCAACAATTGCAATTTTTTTAAAGGACATTCTTCGCAACATGGGGTCTGGCATGTTCGTGGTGGAACAGCACCTCTGGATATTTTCTTGCAATTAACGGCCGCTTTTAGGTGTGAGCATCCTACAAACTGTCAAGTTAGTGTTCGTAGCGGTCAGCAGTAACAGTTTTGTTCGGGCTCAGCAGCTCATAGTACACAATACCCTTTTGATACCACCACCAAATCCACGCACAGCATTACTTTTTGGCAACAAACATTCCGCTTTCGTTGCAAGCTCTCGAGTGAAGGGAATCTATCTCAGCAGGTTCGTTCAGATGAAGCTTGTCCTTCATAGAAGCATCCGGTGGGCAGGAGAAGGGCCCGCCGGGGAAACGGTTTATCACGTTCCATGACCAATCAGTCTGAGAGCAACAGGATTTTGGGGCAAAACTGATCTGTCTGCCCTTAAGAAGGTAGCCAATACCCTACCTTACAGAACGTGACAGGTTTCACCGGTGAACTTCTGACATGTTTCGCGCAACGGCCCCTGGAATTCGGCGGCGGAAATTAATGCACACACGTAATAATTAACAAATTTTCACTTCTTTTTCATGTTCACTTCATCAGAATAAACCCATGCAGCACTAAGTAACGCGACGGATGAACCGAGGTGCAGTGGTGAAAAAACTTTTGGGAAGGCTGCTGCTTCGTCATTTACGCCGTTGCACGTCGAGGCCGAAGAGACATGTGACGAGCGCGACATTCTCGTTGCACAGACGAGATTCTGGACCAGGTATTCGAAAACGGAAAGGAGGAACCTGGCGGAGTATTCGCATATAATGGCTGAGGATTAATCGGCAACATACCCTTCATCCCTCGGGCAGTGGAATTTTGTGTTTCATGAAAAGAAGAAGTCTAAAAGCCTCACCCGGCCCTAGGTGCGACGTCGAACAAAAGATTTCGATGAAGCCTGTGTTGGCAGAACCTTTCTCTCACGAAAACCTTCAGTGGCTATCAGCAGCCACTGAAGATATATTTAAGCAGTGGTTCCCCACTGTACTCAAGTGCGTCATCTGTTGAGATCCAGAAATGATTGCTTTCAATGGGTAAAAGAAAAAGAGTGCTTTTATTTATTTATCATATACGCCATATAAGACAGCGTTAGAAAAGAAAACATAAACAAACGCCAGCAACACAAAACATTACGATAGAACAAACGAATTCTGAGAAAAAAGGTGGCAGCTGTGCTTGTAAAACATTTTTGCCAACTGCCCGTTTGAAGGAGCTCAGAGAGCCTTGGATGCTGGGAGCCTTGCTGGTTTGCAAGTATGCAAGACCAGCAATTACGGTGAAAAAGTTTCTTCTTATGGTTGTTTTGGGCCTAGAGAGGGATAGTTTGAGCTGACTACCCCTTGTTTTGGAAGGGATCAATGAGTAGAAATCCGAAAAATTTACCGCGGTTTTGCCTGTCACCAAGTTATGTATCATGCACAAGTCAAAAAGCTTGCGCCTAGACTCTAGTGAAGGAATGTTGAAGTATTTGTTTCTAATCGCGGCCTTGGGAATTTTCGAATACAGAAAATCACCCCGGCGAATTAAAATTTTCCGAGTGAAATTGTTCTGAACCCTTTCTAGCAACATAATGTTCTTCTTTTTATTAGGGCAGAAACAACGGTACCGCTTTCCACGAGCGAACGGACATAGGTCTTATATGCTCGAACAAGAACATTTGTATCCTTTGTGGTGAGCGCCTTAAAGATCTGGTACGTACGGTAAAGAGCAATACGCTGGATATGGCTACAATGAGATGAGAAGTCGAGTTTGCCA